GGGAGAGTACTGGTGAGAGCACAGGGGACAGTCCCGAAGACTGAGGCGGTCACTGGCTCTCCCCGCACAGGCATGTGCCACCCGAAGGCTGAGTACTTCCAGATGGGGCGGGCCTCCCTCCTAGAGGCCCACTGGGGCATCCATACAATGGCTGCTGGAGGTTGGGGGGTGGCTGTGGGTGGGGGCAGGAGGGACAGGAAGCCTGAGATTTGGGCTGGTTTGCTACCATACTTCCTAGCCAGAGTAGATGGTGGCTCACCCCAGGTTTGGAGGTTTCTAGGGAAACCACAGGGACCACGGTAAAGTCATGCTTAAGGAGGGAGGCTCTTCAGGTGAACAAACGAGGAGATAAGGGACTGAGTCATGGACCATGGAGCCTCCTGGATCAGCTCAGGGTGGGGAGTTTGCCCTTGGCCTTTGATTAGACTGTTAGCCAAAGACAGTACTACTTAGTGGTGAGAGCTGAGCTTTCAGGGCCATCAGTTTGGCATTTGGCACTGGTTCTGTGAGCCTCAATTTGCTCATCTGTAAAGTGGGGATCATACTGCATGGCAGGTTGGATGAAATGAGCTACGCATGTAAAGTGCTGAGGACATAATCCACTCTTAATAAATGCTGGCTGCTGCTGCTGCTCTACCGCTGCTGGCTGTGCGAGCCTGTCTGGAGCCTGTGGAACACCATGGCAACTCCTACGGATGCGCAATTAGGGACACAAGTCAAACCCTCTACTCAGTAAAGGGATTCCCTGATTCCTTGAGCCACCCCAACAGGGGTCATTCCCAGGTTGTGCGTAGGAAGGGAAGTCCTGTACATAGAACCTGGTCACCTCTCTCACCTCTCCCACCCTGGGGCCCCAGCCAGACCTTGACAGTCCATGTGGCAAATGTTTTCCGTGTGACTCTGGTAATCGTTGCACCAGTAGTGGCTGTTGATCTGGAAGATGCCGTAGTCAAAGCTGCCATCGGTATTTTCATCTACCTTTGTTATGTTGAAGGCACTTTCCACGAAAGCCAGGCACAGCCCTTAGAACAGGGAGAAGAGGGTTTCTAGAGGGGGA